AATAACCACTAATCTTGTGGAATTTACCATATAATATTTTTAGGAAAGATGAAAATGTTTGCACTGTCCAGTGTGGTTATTTTATTTTAACAAATTTAAATTTGAATTTGAATAGCCACATATAGCTAATGGCTATCATCCTGAATACTATCTTTTAGAATTAAACTATTCATAATTTGAAATCTGCTCTTTGTGTTCACAGTTCTGTGCTGTTGGAGAACTTTCCTGGGATCTGGGATCTGTAATCTTTCTTTTAATACTCAGTGTATTAGGCAGCCAGTTATCCAAAGTAAATGAGAACACCATAAAATATTAAATTTTGATACATATGTTAATATGACACTGTATTTAAAATGAGTAATTATGAGTTACTGCAGAATTAATTAGTATAATTTAAATGCAATTGCTCTGTATTCTACTCAGTATATATGGCTATTTTAAGATTTATACCATCAGAATAATTTTAATGAATCAGAATTGACATTCTCTTGAGTTACCTAAAATTAAGACATTTGATTCTTCTGCTTTTAAATTTTCTTTTGCCTATACTTACACACAGCTTCATGTAGGAAATCTATATGATGAAATGGAAATGGAACAAAAACGAAATTTATAATTTTTAGATGATGCAAAATCAAATGAATGAAAATATATGTCAATCACAATTCTGCGATTCTATCCTTTGTGTGACTCTGACTCATAAAATTATAGGAATATCTTTTATATCATTAAACAAATCAAAAATTAAAACATGCTGAAGTGAGGGGAAGCTAAAACAGAATGCAAGGTCTTACTACAAACCCTAGTTGGATAACAAGTAAATAATATAATCACACTAAAGAGAATAAGGAAAAAAATAATTAGCCAAAATTACTGTGGAAACAATGTCATGACTGGATATTGCATGGCTAAAGACCAAAAGTTACACATAACTGCTATAATACTAATTTGTAAACCTGTTTCTAATTGAGGGCTGGACTGGCCAGGCATTCATTTTATATACACCTATTTTCCAGAACTTTAATATACATACTACAATTACATTATTAAATCAATTTTACATAATATATATCACATTTTCTCTATTCATTTATCTAGGCTGTATTCTTTATCTTGGCTATTGTACATTATATCACAATAAACATGGATACTCATGTGTCTCTATTGTATGGAATTAACTTAGTAGTTAATACTAACTACTATACTATAGCAGCTATATGAATGGAGAGGTTCTTTAAGAACTAAAAATATAACTACCATTGATCAAGCTATGGAAATCAATAGAGAGGTTCTCTAAGAACTAAAAATACAACTACCATTTGCTCAAGCTATACCACTCCTTGAGAGAACCAAAGGAATTAAACTCTTAAAACATTTATGAATCTGTTTCCTCTACCCCAGATAAAACTAACTACACAACAGACATAAAGGAAGGTTAATGGACTCAATGAATTTTGATAGTATTTTTAAGCTTTTGTATTTTGAAGTGGCACAAAGAAAAGTTGCAAAATTACTGAGAGTTGTACTTCAGAATTTATGTCCTGCATAAGTATGCTACAGGGCAAAAGTACAAGGAATTAACAGTAAAACAACATAAGTAAACTCTGGAACTTACTTAACACCAGCTTTTCCGCTATATTCTGATATGTATGTTAGGAACACAGAGAGTGACAGTCAGTAGAATCATAGTGTTAATCCTGAGAGGACATTTGTATCTTAGTGTCTTCAATACCTTCGTTTCAGCAATGTAAAGTCATTTTATTCATCTTTCCTAAGACTATTGAGAGATAAATTCTGATTTTTCCTTAAATTGAACAAACTTGTCAATAAATTCTTAGGATTTTTCATTTAGGAGCAGTTTTCGTCATTAATAAAGGAAATACTTCTTTTGTTGAAAGTATGGTTGTACAGTCTGTATTTCTCTTTCTGTACTAGCTGTGAGAGTGCACTGGGCTAGATTTAACTTTTAAATGTAGTAGTTATAGGGATATATTTAAAAAATAGTCATTCTCACTTTGTTAAACAAATTGCTGAATAAAAGTAGGAACTAAAAATTATGTAGGCACTTACTCAGCATATATGTATATATTTTATATACATATATATGTGTATTTTCATTTGCTTGTTTTTCCGTTTTTAGCGTTGCAACCTCATATCATTTTAGAAAGCTGCTAATCAGGCAGTTAATGTTTATTGAATACTTATGCTAGATGTTGCATCAATGTAAAGCTAATAGGAGGTCGTAGCATGTAGAAGCATACATTCAAATGAAGAGCTGCATGTAAAAGAAAATATGAAAGATACCAGTAAGAAGTTGAAAACTCCTCTACACCTTGATCCAGTTTGAGACTTTCCTGTGGCTTGCAATGTCAAGAACATTACTGAGACTAATGAAGACTAAAGTGGAGTTTAGGAACAATTGATTTAATCTTCTAGCCATGTTAATGGAGCAAAACCTGGAGAAAAGTTCATGACAAAAGTGGGAATTGCATTGCAGAGTACATGGGAGTATATATGCGTATGTGTATACATTTATGACATATACATACATTGTATATTGTGTATGCGTAGATATGCATAGATAAAATATATCAAAGCCATAAAAGGATACATTTGAGATGTGTCCTCTAAAACAGGAATGTTAATACTTTATTTTCAAGTGGAACTTGGTGCTCTATGTGACTAAGTAAGTGTTCAATAAATCTTCATAGATGAATGGAGAAGAAATAGTTCTCAAAATACCAAAGGAACATGAAATGCTCATGATAAATACATCTAGATAATAGTCCAATCCTAGTAACATTAAGACACAGCAGTCTGTGTGTGACACTGCATTATAAGTGCTACACATTTGCATACAAAGTTGAGATGTTACCAAAAGCAGCAGGCAGCTTCTTTACTGAGTTAACCTAAGTTAACTAAGTTCACCAAGTTAGCTTATGACCATAATACATGCCCATTTGATTTGATTCTGTTGATTATTTTAGGAAAATTAAAAGCCAATCTAAACATGTTTTATAACAATGAAAGTTTTAAAATAGGTTATGTTGGCCACTTTAGCAATTAAAGTGAGCCAACTTTGAATGGAATTGTTATCTAGTTTTGAAATGTCAACCTTCAGAGCTTTATAAACAGTCAAATAGTACAGCTCTGGCACTAATTGGATCTTCCAAAGTGTCTAATAAGGGTGAATGTCATTTACTTAGTGGTGAACAGCTGGCTAGATTACAGGGACCCTCTCCATCCAAAGAATTTGCAGAAAACTTCATAAGTGTTGAAAATCGACTATAAAGCTTTCAGTGTAAGAACTGGTATTGTCAGTGAATGAGCATCTATGGCAGAAAGAACCATACTATTTTCTGGCTTTTGCAAATTTCCATAGAGCATCAAGGCCACCTCCTATCTTCGTTTAGAAGGAGTAGAGAGGAGTACTCCGAGGCTAGAATGGAGGTAGCTGACCTGGATTCTCATGTCGCTTTGATTGCTGATCACCTAACAGCTTGTGGAAGGTCAGCATATTCAACTTGCCCTTTGTCTTTTGTGTGTTCCTCTGAGTGGAAGCTGGTGATACGGCTCTTAGAGAAAGGCTTTTCTCTTACTTTATCCTGTATTTCACTGGGCTTTTCTTTGTTGGTCTTTTTTTTATTCTTTCATACCTTCTTAAACTTCGAATGATGGAGAAACTTAGGACTTATATTACTTTTCTACTAGTGTGGAAGAGATTACCACAAATTTAGTTTAGAACAACACACATCCATCTCTCAACATATCCTTCCTGTAGGATTTCTTCTTTTCAGCCTATTCTCCTTTCATCCTATGAGTCTGTCTTCTTCCTGTCCCCCTATCAGGTAGAGATTGATCAGTAGTTAGAAAAGGATCAGGCCTAAAATAGAGTCACAGCAGAGATGAGGCAAGCCAGGCCTGAGATCAAGGCTGAACTGATAGACACTAGACCCCAGTACCCAGACACAAAGGCTAGACCTGAGGGCCTCCCCAGAGATAAGAGCCCAGAGCTGTTCTGTAACCTACATTGTTTGGTCCAGTAAGCCTGAACAGTATAACAAACATGTAGAAACAATGTCATGAACATGTAGACTGATGACCAAAACACTCCTAACCCTTGCAGGAATGCCTTTGGTTTTCTCTACATGCTTTGTTTTTCTATTGGATTAATAGTAGCTGTACTTGTAACCATGTAAGTTGATTATAGTTTGACCCAAGGTATCCTGTGACATGCTTTCTCTGTATAAAAAACCCAGCAAAGACACCCACTCTTCGGACCCTTCCTGTCTCTCAGAATCTTTCTCCTAGTACATCTTTCCTGTTCTTTGTCCTCATGTCCATTGGTCAGTATTGTGAGACAGGAACTGGGCACACCTATCAGGTTGGGAGAACACCCCCACAGTCTCCAAAACCATGCTAAAATCTGCTTTATGGCATTGGACTTTCTAGCGTTCATTCTTAAAGTATTTAACAAATGCATTTTTAAATTCCTTATTCTGAAATAATTTTTTCTTTCAGTAGTATTTGAGGTATAAGCAAGACGGTGAGTTTGGTTTCGAACACCAACAGCAGAGAAGCCCGTTCTTGTTTCCTGAGTTCACATCACAAAGGAACCTGACTGCCAGGCACTTGTACCAGGAAAGCCTTGGCCAAAGTTCTCCATATCTACTCTGGGCCAGGAGGATGGTGACTCCTGGAGGCAGCTGATAGAAAAGGGAGCATTCTCAACTAGGTGTGTTGAGAAGAGCTTACAGACCGTTTCTCTACTGTAGGAACACAGACTGTTAGCCTCTCATCCTTTCACATACTTTGTGAGGTTTGCATTTCAACTTTGAATTGGTTCATAAAATGAATTTCATAAAAATGTGCTTTCTATGAAAATACTTTTGATGGAGTGGTACATGGTGATTTTTCTCTTGTTAACATAATCTACACTAATCCTTTTCATTTCTTTATTTATCTGAAGCCTCGTCCTGATTATCTGATTTTGTTTTTAGGGAACTGAATCTTGATCTTTCTGAGAAGAGCACCTGGGCTTCATTGGCTCCACCAGGTAAGGAAAAAATGTGGGAATGGCTCATACTGCCTAAGTTAGCATTTCATTAATGATTAATTTCAATTTTAGATACCATTTGAGCATCAATCTTCTTTTCTTAATAGAGGAAAAAAAAACCCTAGAAGCCTAATAGGAAATTTTGTCAGTATTAAATTCATCCTGAAACCCTTTTGAAGAGTTGTATGTAGACTTTAACACTCTATTATAGAGAATCAGCACAACTACAGAAAAAGTAAGAGACAGATGCCAATCTAAGTACACACATGTCTCCAAAATAAAATATTTTCTGTCAGCAGAAAATGTTTTACTTGATGGACTAACTTGATAATCTTAACTATGTAAACAGTTGGATGCCAGAGGAACTGTATTGCTAGCAAACATTTTCAAGAGATAAGCGCTTGTTTTATGTACCACATAGAAAAATCTTTCCTTTGGCCAGCTGAGTCCACCACGTGTTTTAAAATATGTCATCCATCATTTTAGTGTTAAGAGCGCCCCCTGGTGTGATTGTATAATTATATGTTGATGTGAAATGACACTTTTTTCTACTCTTGTTTTGCTATTAAATGGCAGTAGGCCCTCTTTTTATGCTAGATTGACTTAATCCATATGTCTAGAAATAGGCACTTAAGGTTCTTTTTCCATTACCCATGAATAAGTGGTTCAACTTGAAAGCAAATTTTGGGAGTATCTAATTCCTAAACTTTATTTCAAGCTAATAAAGTGATTAAGTTGAATATACACTGGAATGAAAATTATATGAGATAATCAATTTTTTCATGCTAATAAGTATTGAATTACTACTAATAATTCCTTCCTGGTAAATTAATGGGTATTTTAATAATTAAACAAGAGAATCCAGGCATGTTTTACTTTTAAAGTATCTATGGAAAAAAAATAATCCAAGTCTTTAGATTTTATTCCAAACCAGCATCTTCCCTATAGTTGTGGAAATTGCAAATATGACCGTAATTCATCTGTGAATCATAAATCAGTCTCTTAAACACCTTCTACCGTCATGTATAAATGCCCCAGATCGCCCCTACCCCCAGGCTATAAGATTTCAGTTTAAGTTGGCAGCCAGAATCCTCCTTTGTAACTCTTATTTTTCTCTTGCATTTAAAGTTTAGTCTTTGGGAGATAATTAAATCATCATTGCAAACTTAACTGTACATAATATTCCAAACCACCTTGCTATGAATTTGATAATTGGAAGTAATTCTCTCTGTTCTCTCTTTTCTAAATTATCTTGTTTTAACAATTTCATACAGTTTGTGTTCTAAACTTGATCATTTGCAGGACTACAGGGGAAGGCTTTTTGTAGAAGACTGCTTTCCTTTTTTAAAAAAATTTCTTCTGCATGTTCCCTCATGACTGATGGTGAAGGTGTAAGCTTAATACAGTATTTATAGTAATTCTTGCCTTGCTGAAAGGATGAAAAAAAAATCAGAGCAATGAACTTGCCATAGCAGACCTGTGTTTCACATTACCATGGGAAAGTTTTACTTTGAACAAGACATTTGGTGACTTTCAGAAGCTCAGTCTCATCTATGAAAGAAGAAGCAAGTCACTACTTCATGGGATGTTGTTGAAATATTCTTTATATTAATCTGTATTTAAGACTTACTGCAATTCAGACTGGGAGTTGAGCGCCGTATGAACCGATTTGTTTCTCACTGTGTATGAACTAGGTGCTGTTGTTTCTATTTTACAGGCAAAGCATAGTGAAGCTAAAAGGTTTATACATTGGAAAGACTATCATTCTAGCTGAGCGTTGCCTTGAAGTTGGCACATAACTATTGTGCTGTGTACCTAATTTAATCATCCTTATTCAATTTTACTAATTTGTCCTTATGTACAAACAATTCCTCAGTGCAGAAATGTAGAGGAAACCCGTGTTTTTGAAGTCTTTTTTAATAGAAATAATCTCCTTGTGTAGAAACCGGGATTTCTTGGGAACTTATTTTTTGTGCTTTTTCAAGACACATGATTGCCATTGGTATAAGCTGATATAAGCAGCGACAAGCAAGGAAAAGTGGGATTGAGTTCGAGAGCATTGGGACACTATCAAAAGTGATATAAAAACAGAATAATTGAATGTTAATTTGAGAGTGATTCTGATTCAGCATTTCTTTCAGTTTTCTCTGAACCTGTGACCATAATCTAATTCCTGTGTGTGTTACGATTCTCTTTTAAGTACATAATTACTAGCATTGGCTTTGTGAAGCTTCTACCATATTCCTTATGGGCTGAGATTTTTTTCTGACATTTTATGTACTAGATTTTATTCTTTAATTGCTATAAAGATGAGTATAGGTTTCTCATTTCATTAAAAAGCAGTTCTGAAAGCTACTGTGTCACTCACCATGAAAACACGGTGTGCACAAGCCAGCTTTTTGCCATCAGATCCACTGTTACGTATTACTTCCTCAGTGCTTTAGATTTGCTCGAGAAAGTAGGCTGTTCAGCCACAACTGAAAGCACATTGCTGATTGTTTCCTTCACTGTGCAGAAACCTTTCAGTTCGATGTTATAACATTAGTCTGTTTTTCCTTTTGTTTCCCTGGGTTTTAGGATCATTTCCAAAGAAGTTATTCAAGGTGTGTCTAACCCACAGCCTAAGGGCTGCTTGCCTTCTTTTCAAAATATTGTAATGAAAATATTTAAAAAAGGAAGTTTTCCTACTTCTATATGTTAACTATATTTTATATTTTTTATGCAGCCAAAGATAATTGCTGTCCTTTTAGTGTCGGCCAGGCAAGCTGAAAAGTTGGACACACAACTAGTAACTACTTTATGATTCAGTTTCCCACTTCTGGGCATATATCCAAAGAAAAGTAAGTGGGCCAAAGAGATACCTACAAAGTCATGCTTAATGTGGCAGTATTCACACTTACTAAGATGGAATCAATGTAGGTACCTATCAACAGATAAATTGATAGAGGTTAGTATATATAGGCAAAGGAATATTATTCAGCCAAAAATGAGAATGAAGTCCTGTCATTAACAACCAAATGGATGGAACTGTGCGCATTATTTTAATGAAGTAAACTAGACATATATTCTCTAAAAAAATGTCAACCCAAATGTGTGATAGAAAGTACTAGACACTGCAAGGGAGTGTGAGGTGGATAGGTGGATTTCACGACTTCACACTCTATGCATATGTTGAAATACCACACTGAGCCCCATTAGTAGTACAATTAATCTGCATTAATCTAAACTGAAACACTTTAAATAGCATATTGTTAAGCTCCTCAATAGCCAAATGGTTTATATCATGATCATTAATAAAAGCAGGTATGTATAGTATTATGTCTTACTAGTGTAAGGTAGTACATTACCCCAGACATCCACTAACATTTGGAAAAATCACTTTAACCATCGCTGCTGAGCCAGCAATGAGTGAAAGAGTCAGAGTTGTGTTTCGTACCCTATTTCTGTTTCACTTTTGCTACCGTCCTCTGCCAGTCTAACACACACACACACCCCCCATCACAGCGTTTGGTAGATATGTTCTTTGTTTTTGGCCTCGTTTAATGTCTGTGGAATCTATCCCTTCTTTCTCCCGGTCTACTGATACTATTTTGGTATAGGCTTTCATATTTTAAAGAATTGAAATAAATTAATTGAATTTCCTCTCTCCAGCCTTGTTTTTCCAAAAACTCTGTTCCTACTGGGAGAAGGCTAATTTTCCTTGTGCGTAGAACTAATAATCAGCTAAAATTACTCATTCTCTTGTCCAAAAATACCCTTTGCTCTTGCTTACCTGTCTCCTAGCTCATTTTATTCCCATTGTCCTCAACCCTTTAACTCTGTGCTTTCCTTCATTAAAAAGCTTTGTACTTTCTTTGCCTCCCTGTGCCTTCATGTACCCAGCCCCCATGCCAGTAGTGCCTTTTTTCATTTGGTGGGTCATTTTCACCTTTTAAGACCTAAACTTTACACTGGCTGCCTATGATAATCTTTCACAGACTAAAATCCGAATTGCACCAGTCTGCACCCAGGTTGAGTTAAGAACCTCTTAGTGGTCACTTGTATGACTCTTCGTCTACTTCTGCTGTTACCAAGTTCAGTTTACAGACGACAGCTTGAAAGCAGGTATTATGTCTTGTTACAGTAAATGTCATGTATACGGAAATTCTCAGGAAAAACATTAAGTCCATAAAGGCATTAAATGAAAAGAAAAACACATCTTGTGCTGAGTTCCATGAAGCCTGCACCTTCACTCAGACTTTTAAGCTCGTGGATCAAAATGCCTGGATTCAGTTAGCCGCCCTGGGTTCAGTGGTGAAGCAGCCAGGAGTTGACATGATTAATCTTTTTCATTTACACATTGACTCTTGCAGTTACATGCACACCTCAGTGCGTTGAACCACCCTTCTTGCTCAGTATTTACCTGCTGAATTTTAATACTGTTGTAGGCAAAAACTAATACACCTTTCCCATTTTCATAGCCTTTTAAAGCTGTGGGACACAGTCTGTCATAATTTTGTCCAGTGAGATGTAAACAGAAATCTGATGGAATTTCTGAGTTTTTTACTTTTTTATGTTTAGTATAGACTTTCTTTTATCTTTTTTGGCTCATTCTTTCTGTGTTTCTGGTAAACATGATGAGTTAAACTAGAGCAGTCACCTTTCATCTTCAAGTAAAAGGAAGGCCAGATATTAGAGACGTTTAACTTGATGTCCTTGAAGTTCAAATGGATACCAGTGATTGTCTTTCCTTGGCTTTTTATTGCCTGAGAAAACTTGCACATGTTGTATGTAAGCCTTTGTTATTTGGATTCTCTGTTGCATATCTGATTTCCCTGTGTTATACAGAAGCTAATAGTATAGGTGGCTAACTTCTCCACTGATAGTTTTATATATATATACACACATATATATGTATTGTAAAATTCACCAACCATATTTTGAGACCCATTATTACTTTGTACTGCTTTAGATACTATGATCCAAAGATTGAAATGCCACTTCTATGGAAATGGATATCA